TATGCCAACTTGAGTGCACAACAGAATAGCTTTCCTGTGCATGTACACTCCTGCATCCACACCACTCAGAGGGTCATGCAGAATGGCCGGCTCTGCAAAGCATGTCCGGTGTTTCCTAGTTCTGGTCTCAATTTCCACTCATCCCCCCCCCCCCCCACGGGAGCTCTCTTCTGACCTTCACAGGAGCTAGAGTGTCACTCTGGTGCCTCTGTCTGCATCCTTCCCTCAGCTGGTGTGAGAGGTCCATTCTGTGGTTGAACACAGAGCAGCCTGTTCTATTTACTTCGGTGTCTTATCACACGGCTGTGCCACAGTGGGGTTGCTGATGTTTGGTGGTTTTCTTAGTCTCTACTCTATTGCTATGAAGAGACACTGTGGCCAAGACAACTCATAAAAGAAAGCATTTAATTGGGGCTTGATTACAGTTTCAGAGGTTTAGTCCTTTATCATCTTGACAGGAAGCATGATGGCTCATGGGTAGCTACTGGAGCAGTAACTGAGAATTCTACATCCTGATCTGTAGGCAGAAAGAGAGAGAGACTGGGTCTGGGGTGAGATTTGGAAACCTCAAATCCACCTTCCTTGGCACACTTCCTTTATCAAGGCTGCTCCTCCTAATCCTCCTACTCCTTTCAAATAGCCACCCCCTGACAACCTCTGGGGGCCATTCTTATTCAAAACATACAGTGTTTGTGCTGACTCTGGAACTTGTGACTTTTTTTTCCCTAAAGACTTGGTTTTTTTTCAACAAGGTCTTACATGTAGGTGTGATATTGAACTACTGATCTTCCTGCCTCTGTCTCCTGAGTTCCAGGATTATAGTATGCCTGGCTTACATGGTATTGGGCACCAAATCCAGGGCTTTGTGCCTAGCTTTGCCAACTGAGCTATGTGTTAGGGTTAGGGTTAGGCATGTGAATGTAGCTGTACTCAGACTTTGTGGGCTTCCTGCCCTTACTTCTCTAGGCTGTGTCTAGTAGGTGGCTTGCCTAGTTTAGAGGATGTTCCACCTGGTTTGCCAAAGTGCTTGTGAGGAATGTCAGTTCCAGTGCTCCACATCTTCCCTAGCACCTGAGCTGTCACTTTATGATTCTAGTCCTTCTGGGGAGTGGGCAACATCACCTTATTGCCAGCTTTAATCTGTGCTCTCCTGGGTGCAATTTTGACCATTTCACCAGGTTTTTAGGCTATTCTTAGTGTGCCATGGATGTTTAACCCTTTTTTCCCCTTCCTTCCTCTTTCCTTCTCTCCCTTCCCTTTCTCCCTCACTTCTTTCTCTCTCTTTTTCCTTTTGTTCCCTCCCCCCATCCCTTTCTTTCTGCTTGCTTGCTGGAAGACAAGCCTGTGCATTCAGGGCTTAGTAAATTAAGCCGATTTAATACTGATACTCCAGTAAGAGGGATCAACTAAAAATTGGCATTTGTTTTGTGTCCCTTTCCTCACAAAGATATTTTGAGACCATTAATGACCCCATAGTTGATCACCATTATGCAAATCTTGGAATAAAATCCCAAACACTTTGCTGGGTTGGAGGGGATAAACCATGAATGCTCAGTAACTACACTAGAGACATAAACAGTGGCGATGGGCTCTTCAGCAACCAATGCCAAAGAAAGCCTTTGTAGCCAGGGTGATTAATACTGCAACAGCCTGGGCATTGCTGAGCCGAGCGTGCTCTGAGGAAGGAGTGTTCAAACAAATATGAACTGTTCTCTGGGATCTGGCCAGAGAGAAGGTTCACAGAGCACAGGGATTCTCCTCGGGAAGTGGAGGAATTAGCATGTGCTGGATAACATGGAAGTTGTCATTCTTTCATGGTGCTGGCTCTGGAACCCAGAGCTCCTGCTTGGGTTAAACAAGGGCTCTATCACAGAGCTGTACCAAGAGTAACTAGCTGCCTGACTTGGGTATTGGGAACAAATCTAGTGTTTTCCTGAAAACAAATGCTCTTAACCACCAAGCCATCTTCCCAGCCCCATGAACCCAGTTTTTAATGTTAATTTAGTCCATCTTACCTCTGTCTGTTCATGGTCAAAGCCTCCTGTGTCCTGCTGAAGTAGGCTCTGTCCAACCGCCTTCCCTGTGTAGGGAGATTGCTTCCTAGTGAATGTGCTTCTCCATATGTCTGACCCACAGAAAATTGCATTCTTCAAAGACTGCCTTTCTCATCTCCCCAGGTCCACCACCTGGAGTCTGACGGGGTTCCCAGCACCCATGTCTAGAGTCCACAACTGTTTCTAACTCCAGCTCCTGGGGATCTGAAGCCCTCTTCTGGACTCCATTGATACCTGTACTCACAATTGTGTGTGCATGCATCCCCTCCACACATATGCACACAAATTTAAAACAAATAAAAAGATGTGCAATGTGCTTTGTTAAAGATGGCAGTGTAGCTGGAATCTGGGTTTTTAAAAAATTATGGTCTATGAAGGCTGGCATAGGAAAAAGGCCTGAAGATGGGTCTTGAGGATGGGATGGTGGGCAGAACAACAATCAGGAATGATGCCAGCAGCTGATAGCTGACTTTAGGATGATGACCATGGGTCATCCAGCTCAGTCCAGTACACTCACAAAGCTCTCAGTGGAATAAAGAGGTTGTAGAGAAGAGACAGGGACTCGATTGGACACGAGGAGGACTCACTTGGTCATTGCTGCATTTGGACATGAATGAGGCCATGAGCCAAGAATTCTTCTGGAAGGGAGATGGACTCTCCAGGTACAGATTCTTCTTGGAGTCCTCAGAAGGCCCTGTTGAAACCCTGACCATAGATAGCCCTTTGACACCTATGGGTGAGGAATGCCTATTTTTGTCCCAGTGGCCATATACTGTGAATGGAGGAGGGGAGACACTTATTTCAGGTGACAAGAATATGTGCGCGCACCTCTGTGTGTGTGTGTGTGTGTGTGTGTGTGTGTGTGTGTAGGCAGAGAGACAGTCAGAGGGAGACAGATTTGGAGATTTGGGGAGAATACTCATGCCAAGGACCCTCAGAAGAGGCCTAGGTAGCCAGTGTGCAGCAGTGAGAAGGTCTCACTGGGAGGGCGTGCCCTGTGGGCCTAGAAGACATGATCAGCTGCCTTCCCTGGGGAGCTGGGAGGTGGTAATGGCCTCTCTCAGAACATTTCGGGGGCTCCTCTCCCCAGATAAGCCCTGCAGGTCCCTCTCCTCCCATGTGGTGTTGTGACCTAGCCCCACCTCTAGAGATATGCCTGTGCCTCATCTCCCCAGGTCCCTGTCTCCCAGGAAGCTCAGACAGCCAGGATCCTACACCGAATCTCTCCTGAGTGGCAATCTCTGTCATGTAGGAAATTTACATGTGACTCACTTGAGACACCACCTTCATGGCTCCTCCGCCTGCAAAGACCCTGTCAATGTGCAAGCACCAGTCAATGCCCACCTCTCGTTTAGGCCTGAGACCTGTGTTCTCAGGGAATATATTTCAGACTTTTTAAAAAAAAACATTTAGCAAGAATAGACTAGGCAGCAGCTCCCCCTGAACTCATATGGCTTCAGGACGGTTGTCAGGCAGGCTAAGCAGCTGTCCTACAGTGTGTACAGTGACACCTGCTGCCAGAGCCCTATGCTGGGGCTGGCTTCCCTTAGCTTTTTCTACCTTTAGCTAAGAGGCAGGCATGGTGGGTGTTCATTTGAGCTTAGTGCCCCTGACATTCCCAAGTAGGAAAATCTGCATACGTTTATAAGGGGGCATATTTGGAAAAAGAAGGGAGTATAAATGTAAGATGGGGGTCTTTTGTAGAAATCTTCCTCTGGTCTCTGATTTCTGGGCTCTGCCCTTCAACACAGAAAACACATTAAAACTCTCCCACACTACTCTTAATGATTTGAGCTTTGAAAAGTAGTTTTCATTTGAAATTCTTTGGCCCCAGGGAACTTGGCTCTTGACGTTTGAATTAACAAGTGGCAATTTATATCTCACTATTGCTCTTTAGGCATACTAAAATGCTTATCAGGATAAATTAGAGTTAGGAGGTTCTGTATGGAAAATCCTTATTTGAATCTGTATTTATTTGAAACTTAGCTGTGTACTTCTTATATTTGGGGGCCAATTAAAAGTTCTTGTCGGGCGTTGGTGGCACAATGCCTTCAGTCCCAGCACGCGGGAGGCAGAAGCAGGCCGATTATCTGTGAGTTTGAGGCCAGCCTGGTCTACAGAGCGAGTTCTAGGACATGCTTCTAAGCAATACAGAGAAATCCTGTCTCGGGGTGATGGTGGTGGGAAGTTCTTGTCCTAGTTCCAACGTTTTTCTGTCTTTGAAAAGCCAGATGAATGAGTTTGGTAAACGTGGCACAGGTGTGTGATTGGTAGCAGGCAATAAAAGTCGGTTACCTCACTTGAAGCTCCACACCCTCACCTCCTATTCAGGCTGGGAACAGGTTCTGGCCCTATTCCTGACAACACTTGGGGCATAACATAAGGGAAGGGACGCTGCAGAGCCCCAATGCGTGTGACACATGTGTTTTCTCGGGTCCCCAGGGCAGTTTCAGGTGCTCATCCTCCTTTCACTAGGGCTGGTGGAAGCTAGCTGTCGTAAATCATGCAGGTCTGGGACTGGCCTTTGCTCTGCAACCCCAACCCGGGCAGGTGACACCCAGGGCGCCTCCGGACACGTGCTCTAGACAGGGGCGCCCTGGAGCCTGAGCCACACCTCAAGGGTGACCCACGTGCAGCACCAGCCACCTTGACCTTGGGAGACGCACCAGCCCCCCCCCCCAGCCCTCCTTGGGGCAGCCCCCTCCCGCGCCGCCCCCGGGATAAAGAGAGAAAAGGGGCTCAATGAGGCGCTGGGACGCACAGAAGTGATTTCTCGGAAAGGCGAGCGCTTCAGAGAAGGCGGACCTGGCAGGCCGCGCTGATTGGGCGGCGCCCCCATCCCTCCCGCACACCATTGGCTTGTGTGACCGTCGCTCCGCGCATGGAACCCGCCCTTGCCCCGCTTAAAGGGGCGCGTGCTTCGACCCAGTGGCCCGCGGCCGGTCGCGGAGGCGCGGGCAGCGTGAAACTGGCAGCAGGTAGGACGAGGCTGGGGAGGGCGCGTGGGCTGGGGCTGTGTCTCTCCCACTCGCTCCCAGATGGAGTGTTCAGCATGTTAGCAGGTGCCTGCTCCCGAAGACTAGCTGTTTCTTAAAACAGTAACCACCACAACAGTCCACCCCCACCCAACCTTTCCCTTAAAATTTGCCTGATGGGCAACTTCATGATGAAGAGAAATAGTGACCCCTGTATTGTAAGACCTGCCAATCTCCGCTCAGTAGCCCGGTTATCAGGAGTCAACAATCCAAAGCAACCAAATGGGCTCGCCCAGGGCTCGACAGGCTTTGATTTTGACTAGTGGTGGTCCGATTGCCCAGTGGTGCTGAACTTCTCTGACTGAGCCATAGCAGCTGGCTCTAGCAAGGAAAGTCATGTTCCGCGCGTGAGTCGCAGTTCCCAGCACCGGTTTGCTGTGAGCTTGGCTCTAGGCTGTCGGGCAGACTTTTCCTGGTGAGAAGGGTTACCTAGCCACAGCTGAAAGGCTTCAGAAACTAATAGAAACTAGTTATAAATATTGTAGAATTTTAAAATTGTTTCCCGTAGCTTGCTTTTTGCTGCTGCTGTTGTTTATTTTGTTGTTTCACTATGTAGCCCAGGTTCTTGGAAAACCTGGTGATCCTCTTGCCTTATCTTCCCGAGATAAGGATTTCAGGCGGAACCACTATGCCCAATGGCCCCCACTTTTTTCTTTTACAGCTAAAGATAAGAGCAGTTACATGGAAATTCTAGGTTTGTTCTTTTAAGCAATGGCAGGCTCCTTCATGAAGATCTGGGAGTGATTCAGTGGCTTGAGGAAGCTTGGGGCCAGAAAGAGAAATGGCTGTGATGGGTTTCCGCTTAGTGGTAGCCAGAGTGGTGCCCAGGGCTGAATGAAGGAGATGGTGTGGGATGAGCCCTGCTACACATGGCTGGGGTAGATGCTGACATCTGTGTTGGGAAAGCCTCATGACCTGGTATCACCTGCCTTATGAGGACCCTGGCCCAGGACACGTTGCTCTGGCCAGGGGTTGACTGTAGACAGGACTGGGCCAGAGGGAATACTACCTCAAAATCAAGAAGAGGAAGCTATAATCATGTGAGCATGTTTACAAATCATTATTGTCCATAGCTGTAAGAGGGTCAGGCTCTGCCTGCCTGGGGACCTCAGAGGTGACTGCAAAGGGAATTGAAGGGTTGTCCATGTGCGGAGAGCGGGAACCCAGCTGCAACTTTTGTCTGTAGAATGAATACAATCACCTCTGAGAGCTGGGGACAGTGCTGACAGTTCATGCTGTGCCCAAGGGGTGGCTGTCACTCCAAGTTTCTCCTCTTTTGAGTGAAGGGGAGGCTGAGTGAGAGGGTTCTAACCTCCCCAGTTTCATGGTCTGTGAGTCACCTTTGCTTTCAGTGACCTCTCCTTTTCTATGTCACCCTTTAAGACAGGGGCCCTTCACAATTCTGGGGTGTTGGTCATCTGAGGAGCCCTGATGAGAAACTTCCTTCTCTGGGGAAATCTTCAGCCCTGCCAGCAGATTCTCTTTAGATTTCAGGAGGCTCAGGTGCCAGGGGCCATGGTTTACAAATCCATCTCCAGGGGAGAAGTTAAGATGATTTTAATTGGCACATCCTCATACACCAGTCCCCCCATTCCCTGCTCCTGCCCGCACTCATCCTTGCAGCCCTCATAAGATATCATCAGGTCAGGAGTCTCCTCTCTCTTTCCTAGAACAAGCTGTGGGAGCCAGCACCCTACTTGCTTTTTTGGCGGGGTGCCTGGTGGCATTTTATTACTCTCCTTACGTACTCCTTTCTGGCCCATCATATATAAACATAGTGGCCTTAGAATTCTGGATTTCTTGAGATATCCCCTCTTTTCCTGCTTTTCTGGTAAGGGTCCTCAGACTGAGGACCAAATGGCTTCCCAAGGTGAAGAGCCCTTGCTGAAGTCAGGGTTTCCTGGCCAAAATGCTTGAGATGTGGCTCAGGTGGCAAGAGCACTTGCCTTTAGCATGCACGAGCTCTGGGTCTGGCCCCTGTGAAGAGGGGAGTGGAGGCAGGGGGATCAGGAGTTCACGGCCATCTTCGGCTACTGAGGGAGTTGGAGATCAGCTTGGGATATGAGACCCTGTTTCAAAAATAAAAACAAAAACAGAACTAGAGCGACTCTTCTTCAGCCCTCATCCATTTCCAAGCTCAGAGGAGGCAGCTGGGGCTATGGGGTGGAAAAGCTGGAGCCAGCCCTGGAGAGACATCACCTCCCTTTCTCAGGACCCTGCCTGCCTGCTTTCTGGCAGCCATTGCCATCTGCAGTGTCCTGGAGTTTGTGACCTGTAAGCCTCTTCCCAGCAATCCTGACTATCATTTTGCTCTGTGAGACTTACTGGCTCTGGATGTGACCATGTTCTTGGGGTCATCATGTCTCCTCATTGCTTATTACTTCTTTCTTTCCTGCCCAAAGAGGTCACATTTTAATTGGAAGGCTAGAATTGCTGTGTTCTAGTTTTTGGGGTGGGCATCTGTCCAACTGCCTTGGGGATTTCCAGGCTGTTCTAGTAAACTCTGGCTGCAAGTCTCTGGGCACACATTTTTCTCTTTCCCCAGGCTGCAGGGAAAGCTACCTGACAGTGCTGGTGGGCATGTCTAAGGGTAAGGGCGCCATTACATGTCTGGGGATGGTAGGGCATGGGAACAGAGCCTTTGAGTTGGCTTTAAACTGTCCCTTTGCTCTCCTCTAGGGGTGGTCACAAGAGTCCCTGAGGATCTGTGTTACTGAAGGCGCCCTCTAGGGCACAGGCCCTGATGCCTGTACTTTACACACATCACCTAGACAGAATCTCTAATACTCCAAGGTTAAATGTCTTTAAGGTCCCCAACTGGAATACGACTCATTCCCAGGGGGAATATGACCCTATACTGTTTATATTCCTGTTACCATTCCATTTAGGAAAGGACAACCTGTAAGAGATAGCCTTGAGGGTGTCCTCTTTCTCAGGTGATACTGGGGTCAAAGTCTGCTGGGGACAACAGTCCCCTGGGCAGCCGTAGTTAGGCTCATTCTCAGAGCAGTTGGCAGCTCAAAGCAAAGTTCAGCATCATAGGAGAGCGGCTTCTTCCCAGCAGGTGCCTCAGTGTCTGGAATGGGTGGAGAGCTGGAACTCACAGCCAGAGCTGTAGGTGGGGCACATCTTTGGACAGGCAGCTCTGGATCCCTCAGGCTTTCAGTTTTCATTTGGGTTTAGGGTCATGAGACAACAATGTTTTCTCTTGGCACTGGCCCAGATTTCTCCCAAGTCAACACCTTTGTGTGGACCTCTGATCTTCCTGTTAGTTTTGGGGATCACTGTGACTCATGAAGTCCCATTTGTTATACTAAAAGATTTGCTTCTTTCCAAGGATGTGTGACCGGAACGGTGGGCGTCGGCTCCGGCAGTGGCTGATCGAGCAGATTGACAGCAGTATGTACCCAGGGCTGATATGGGAAAATGACGAGAAGAGTATGTTCCGTATCCCTTGGAAGCATGCTGGCAAGCAGGATTACAATCAGGAAGTGGATGCTTCCATCTTCAAGGTAAAGATCCCTGCTTTCTGATTTCTCTCTGGTTCTGGAGGTACTTAGGAGTGTCCTGATGACTGAACAATTAACCCAGTATTTTATGGGAAACATTGATTGAGGAGGGCTTGGATCTGGCATGCTACCCCATTAAGTCAAACATGCATTTCCCACCTGCTTGCACCCCTTTGCCTTGCTGTACTGCCAGGCTCTGCTCAGTGAACAAAGGAAGACTTCAGTCTTCACTCCTTCAAAGTGTGATTCCTTGGCATGACAGGGCCAGCTAGAAGGGTGACAGGCTTCCATCATTGCTTCTGGGTCAGGGTTTGAAGGGCATCCTGAGCTTGCACTGGATGGTTTCCCTTCTGAGAGGAGTTAGTGCTACTACTGAGGGCAGACCAGGCAGCTGGGGTGAGAGTCAGCTAGAATTGTTCTTTTTCTCATCTCATCCTGGGTGGCGGGTGATAAATCTGTTTGCATTCTGCAGTGGCATTGAGAAGAGAGGTGGCTTCTCCAGGGCCTCATAACCCCTGTGTGATATAGCCAGCATTTGGGATCAGGTGGTTCAAGGTCTTAACCCTTTATGGTACTGAGAAGTAGGGTGATTTCTCCCTAAGAACCAGCCCAGTCCAGCTGTGCAGGCAGGCTGGGTCAGGAGTTCCCCTATGGGTTGTCATAGTCACCTAGGGGTGTTTCTAAGGCCCTAGGGATCTACATTCCACTCTGGGAATTTCAGAGCTTTAGGTCGTGGTCAGCCCAAACTTCTACTTTGTCACAGCTGCGCCTTGGTGGTCTGACCCAGAGCCTAGGTTATGAACCACTGCCTTTAGTTCTGTGCGTTCTGGGAAGCTGGGGGTGGGGAAGAAGGTTATGAGGGTCACAAGGCAGATTGAGCTGCTGAGGACCAGAAACTGACTCAAGACCCTGATCAAGTGGGGGCATGGTCTGCAGAGCACTGTAACCACCAACACTGTCTTGGATGCTTCACTCTTGGGCACAGTCTCCCCTTTGCAATGAGAACCTTGAACCAAGTTGCTGATGACTAGCGTTGACACTGAACCTGAGGCACAGGGTGTTGGCAGAAAGGCCGTCATCATGGTTCTTCCAGACAAAGAGCAGAGTGCTGGACCAGGGGTCTCACTTGTTGCAGGAGATAGAAGGTCTCTCTTCAGCCAGTTCCCTGCTTCAGCAAACCAGGAGTGAAATAAAGCCCCAGATTTATGTATCTTATGCAACGTTCCTCACGGCCAGCAAGCCGTTTCAACAGCATTGAGAAGAATGCGCAAGATTCCCGATGTTTCCGTTGGTTACGCAGTCGCTCTGTGTGGCAATCTGAAGTGAGACAACAATCTCGGCAGGAATGGTGGGAGACAAATGGGTGCCCACCAAACGGGGAGGCCAGCAGGAGTAGGGAGGGAGGGTCAGCCTGGGAGGCACAGAGCAGAGAAGGGCTTTTCTGAGCTGTTCTGTGTGGGGTGAGGTGTCTCTGCATCGTCAGCCAAAAGCATCTTGGCTGTTGAAAGGACTCTGTATCGAGGCCTTGGGCAGTTAGAGCCATCTTAGGGACGTTTTAGTTAAGTAGGAAACATGCTATTCTTAGACAAGTAAACCTTTAAAAAATGTAGGTGTTAAGGAAAAAGTATATGCCTGCCTTTCTACTGGGGAAAGGGATTCTACCGGAAAGCCCAGTGCTATCTGCAGGCAATGTCTTGGGCCCTGTTTCCTGTGCAGACCACAGATGGAGAATGAAAAAGACACTGAGCTTACATCAATCAGGCAAGGGCTGAGATTCCCTGGACCCAGCTGGTAATAGGTTTAACTACTTAGTACTTACCCAATGTGCAGAGGGCGTTGAAGGAAGAAATAGGAGTAATTTTTATTTTATTTTATTTAAGTCTGGGTCTTACAAAGTTCAGACTGATCTCAAACTGGTTACATAGCCAAGGATGACCTTGAACTCCTGATCCTCCTGCCTCTACCTCCCAAATGCTTGGATTACTTGTATGGGTTACCATACCTGGGTTATATGGTGCTGAGGTACATTCCCAGTGTTGATTTTTTAAAATGCAGTAGGGCGCAATGTCAGCCAAGAGAAACTTCAAGCAGTGAGTCCCAGGATCACCCACTCAGCAGCTTCAGCTCTGGGTGACCCTGAGAGACCATGCAGCTAAGACGGTTCTTTAGGACTGGTCTCTGGCCAGATGTGTCAAGGCTCAGGCTTGCTGGTACCCAGTGTGTCTCAGAATGCTTCTTGACCATGGAGTCTGATTTGATGGTAGGGGACTCCAGGCCTTCCTCACAGAGGAGGCATGAGCCCAGAATGAAGGAATGAATAGGGCTTTCCTGTTGAGGTACCATAGTTCCATCATGTGCCCACTGACTGGGATGCTACTGTGCCATCTGCACCTCCTCAGGTGCCACTGAAGTGTGGGTTCACTCAGTGATTTAGAGAGGCAGTCTTCACTCCCGTGGCAGATGTTCTGGATTACTATATCCAGGAGGAGATACTGCTGGAAAATGCTTTAGACAGTGTGTAGGATGGTCCTCACTGTGAGGACCACTCTCAGCATCAGAGGCAAAGAGGCAGAACCTTCCAGCAACCGAGACCCTGAATCACTGTTAGTGTCTGACAGCTGTTCTTTTCTGCTTCTGAATTCACAACAGTCTACAAGTCAGTATGTGGCCAGCAATGCAGTTTATAATAAAGTCCAGAGTTGGAAACCATCTACTTAAAAAATATTTCTAAAAGTGAGTTTGCAACTATGTCAGAGAGGAAGTGGCCACTCAGGCTCAGTGGTAGGAATGTTCTTCCAGCTTCTTGCTGAGCAGAGGCACAGTATCTGGAATCAATAGTTCATAGAGCACAGGCCTTGAACCCAAGTGTTCTTGGAGCTGTGCATGTGCCCTAGGCTATGTGCCTTTGGAAACCAGAGGTCCATGTGGGGTGTCTGTGTCTTTCTCCTTCCACCTTAGTTTTTTTAGACAAAGTCTCTCACTGAACCTGGAGCTGATGGATTAGGTTATACTGGCTGCCAGCAAGCCTTAGTGACCCTCCTGTCATCATGTCCCCATTGCTTGGATCACAGGCACATATACCCAGCTTTTTATGTGGGTGTTGGGGATTTGAACATGTTTGCACTGTATTCACTGAGCCCCTGCTTTGAATTTTTGGTCTTTGCATAGATCATAAGCTTTGGGCAGATCAGAAAAGTTAACTATTAAAAAAAATAAAACTCTATAGAAAAACAGAGACACTTAATGGGGAGAACAATTCATTGCTTTTTAAATGGCTAGAATCATGCAAAAAATGCAAAACAAACTTTCTATTAAAAGGAAAGAACGGTGATCACATTTAAACTTTTTCACATGTTCCTTTTTTATGCTTAGGACTTTATTTGCAAATGTCTTTGTTTTGACCATTCTGGTGAAGCCATGCACACCTTCCTCTTTAAGCTTCATGACCTCAATCCAGAGGAGGACTTTGCCAAAGTTGCATCCTAGGGTGTGGGCAGCCTGGGGCCTGGGTTCAAATTCTCTCTTTGCTGAGAGTTGCTCTGGTCTGTAAGGATGCAGTAGACTAAGTGGTCCTCCTGAAGTTCATTGAGTGCTGACCTCGAACAAGAGTTGATGACCAAGAAAGTCTCTGGGGAGTTGGGGGTGTGCAGTCTTGTCTTCATGTTGAACTCTGTGGTTTGTGTCCCTCTGTTTTTACTGTGTTTCTCTTTCTTCAGGCCTGGGCAGTTTTTAAAGGGAAGTTTAAAGAGGGGGACAAAGCTGAACCAGCCACGTGGAAGACGAGGTTACGCTGTGCTTTGAACAAGAGCCCAGATTTTGAGGAAGTGACTGATCGATCCCAGCTGGACATTTCCGAGCCGTATAAAGTTTACCGAATTGTCCCCGAGGAAGAGCAAAAATGTAACTATCTGTTGGGGCCAGGAAGCCTTCCAAGACCCTCCCTCACTTTCCTCCCTCTGCCCCGATTATCCCTTGCTCTCCATAGAGCAGGCATGCCACCCACAGGGTTTGGGTGCCTGGTTTAGCTAAACAAAGTTGTTCTCTCTTGTATAAGCAGACACAGAGAGCTGGTCTGCTGACCTCACACACCATGTGCTGTCAAGTGGCAGCTTCCTGCAGAGGGAGTGGCCACATGGAGGCAGAGAAGGATAGCCTGGGTCAGAGCACTCTGGGTCATGGCTTAGAGCAGGAACCTAGCTGAGCCCCTGGAGCTCAGTGTAAACTCTCCTGAATAGGTGTGAAGCTCTGCCATAGCATAGCATAGCATAGCATAGCATAGCATGTGGTGCAGAATTTCTTTTTGCTTTCTAGAAGTTTACAGAGGAGGCTGGGGAAGATCTACTGGGCAAGGAAGGCATGGGTCATAGAGTTGAGTGAAATGTTCTCCACTTGGATAAGACAGTGGCAGTGACCCTAATGATGGCCGTGGCGTGTGACTGCTGTCGGGATAACATTATTCCTGAGGTCTCTTCCAGCAGTAAAATCCTAAGAGCATCTGTAAAGGAATGAAAGCAGGGACAGCACAGATCTGCCACATTGCCTATGCCTGTGCTCTGGTCAGACATCAATAATCAATCAGAATGCACTGAGCTCAGTGCTAACCTCAGAATCCTTTTAAACTCATGTCCTGTGCAGAATCAGAGATGTTTAATCTCCATCATGAGTTCATGAGGTTCTTTGAAAGCCATGGTTTTCATACCACTCCAGACAGACGTAAGAATATTGTGGAGTTGTGACTTTTTCTTTGGAAACTTACAGTAATCTGGTAACAGCCGAAACCTTGCAACAGTTCTCAGGGCTGAACACAAATTCTGGGTTTGTCCTCATCCTTCAGACATACAATTTTTTTTAAAAAAGGAAAAACCATGACTCAAACATATACACAGTGAGCCAGTGTCAGAGTGTATGTCACATACCAAGGAGTTCACATGGTAACAAAGCCTGTCAGAGAATATGAAGCGCTGATGTATCTAGTCTGTTAGGGATAGGAAGTGTTTTGGTATGTGTGTGGGGCGATCCCAGGACTCAGGAGGCCAATGCAGAAGGATCCTTAAAGCCAGCCTGTCTCAAAAGCAAAACAAAAATCCCCCAAAGAGGAAGCTGAGCCAACTGCTGTTTGGCTGGTGCAGGTGGTACCACTGAGGTCGGCAGCATTGTGTGACCTGGTCACCTGCAGATGGACACCTGGTCCCATTTACTCAGAGCCCTAACAGGTGACAAAGTAAGGTTTACACAGTGACCTTTCTTAGAAGAGCCTCATGGCTCCTGGGGCCTGGTGCATTCTGTGCTGCCTCTGGAAGGAAGGTCAAACAGCCTTAATTACTGCCTGCTCTAGACTGTTTGTCTTCACAGTGATTTGAAGCAATAGGGAAGTTTCTCTCAGTACCCCCAGGATCAGCCAGGCTTGACTTGGTAGGTGACCCTGACTTGTTTATAGGGTGGGTGGAGCCCCATCACCTGCAGTGTTGGGGGTGAAGGAGCAGCAGGCTCCTGAGCAGAGGAACGCAGCATTTGCATAGCATTTGTCTTGGTACACTGTTCTGTGAACTTGAGTGATTTGCCAGCCTCTCTGGGGGCCCTTCTTGCCCTCTGCTTGCTCCAGCGATGGCATCTAAGCGAATCCCTGCATGTGGCCGAATCAGTAGAGAGACTGTACAGATCCCTGGGGGCCCATCAGGGGTTTCTGTCAAGCTGTATCTCATGGAGGTTAACCTTCCAAGGCGAACGTCTGATCAGGGAAGAGGTGCAAAGTGGGCCAGAAGCCATCTGGACCCATATGCTAGCAGATAAAAGCTTTATGCCCCGTGGGAGGCAGGTGGAGGCTGTGAAACAGGGCACATGTTTGACTTTACCACATGGTACACACACACACACACACACACACACACACACACACACACACACACACACACACGTATTCGGAGAGAACAAAAAAATTTCCTTACACCTGGCTCCCATCTGCCAGGTTATTTTCCAGTAATTCTCTGGATGTTTTCAAATACCCAGACTAGAAAACTTATCATCAATATGTAGGCAGTGAACGTCTGGTATAAAATGTACCAGGCAGGCCTCAGATAGAAGGAAGAAACCAAAGTCTGGTCCTTGTCCTTTAAAAGCCTGGTGTGTTTACAACCCCCAGCACCCACTTCTCTCTTTTGACTCGGCTGATCAGATGACCAGGCCATGAGAAGGCTCGGCTGAGTCTTTCCCAAACTTTCTAGCAGCTGCTAGTCAGAACCAGTGAGGACACTCACCACCTCTATTTCCTTAATTCAGCATTTTAGATAAGGTTGCAATGCTCGGCTGTTCTGGGTCATGGTGTCCATCCCCTTTCCCATAGGCAAGCTGGGTGTGGCACCTGCAGGCTGCATGAGCGATGTCACGGAGATGGAGTGTGGCCGTTCTGAGATAGATGAGCTGATCAAGGAGGTGAGTGGGGGTCTCCCAGACGTCTTCCAGGGAGGGACAGGCATCACTTTTACCCTCATAGGCATTGAGAGCCTTAGGCTCTCCAGAGATATGACACTCCTACCTGAAGAGGCAAAGTGAGGGACTCCCTGGCACTTCCCCAGGCCAGCCTCCTTGTACTGGTCAGGCCCTGCATGTCCTATCTCCTCCTGGGCCTCCAACAAAGCTTTGTTAAGCGCCAAGCTTACTTAAACAAAGCAACTTTGAAAGTCAGTCACCATGTGGTCTTAGCCTTGCTTCTCAGCTGGCTTCAGGGATAGAATATGACCTTCTCCATTGCTTCTGGTCACCCCCATTGGTCCTCATGGCATCTGCATGGCTTGCTTTTTAACATACAAAGTTTATTCCTGAATGGGCCATTGGAACCAGATGACTGAGACTATGGGGACCACCTCACCCTGCATGCATTAAGTCCCCTGACATCAAAAGACCAAGTGAGCATTTTTGTAGCCTTGACAATCCTGGATAGACTGCCAGCCTGGTGGGTTTGTACTCTAGGGTCTTATAAACTGCAAAGTTGAAGCTCAGGTTTTGTCTCATGAGATGACAGATCATGTGTCTTTCGTTGTGTATCTGATATTGGGTTTTATAAACATGGGCTTAAGGGAGGGCTGTGCTGGAGACCTGTCACTCAACCATTATTTCATGTCACCTGGTTCTACAGCCTTCTGTGGATGAATACATGGGTCTGGCCAAGAGGAGCCCATCCCCACCAGAGGCCAGCAGGAGCCAGGTCCTTCCTGACTGGTGGGTCCAGCAGCCCAATGCGGGTGAGTGTGGGTGGTCAGCACTGCCAGCCATTAGGCACTTCATGTTATGGTTGGGGATACTTCCACTGTTAGGCTCTACGTCCCGTGGAAGGTCACTGAGTCCAGATAGGTGAAAAATTTCAGCATGAACTGAGTTAGCCAAGCTGTAGCCTCACAGGAAGGCACAAGTATCTTGGTCTATGATAGGAAGTTATACATGACCACTCCCCTCCCATAGTCCCAGGAAGTTGAGAGGTGGAGTCTGCTGACATCTCCAAGACTCAAGGAAGGCCACAGCTCTGAGCCACCCTGCTTCTCCTTTCCAGTTCATTATTAGGTTCTACTCAGACATTCAAGACACTCCCAGACCCAGAGAGACCCAGAGCTTCTAGAGAGAAGAGAGCCCAGTCAGGGCAGTAGCTTGGGACCACGTTGGACAGTTGCATGCCTTAGTGATGCCTCCATTTACTTAACCATAAATTGGGGACACCAGTACATGCTTAGTGGGAATTAGAAAGTTAAATGAGAAATTCACACTTGTTAGCATCTGGTGGGTACACTCAGACTATAGATGCTTAGAGGGTCATTCACCTGGCCCCCTACTACAGTGTATGAGCAAATTTTATGGCTCACAGGCATCTTGGTTTCCTCCTTTACCTCTTTACTGCCTCTTAGCTGGCCCTCCTGGCCTGAGGTTTCTAGACTATGGGTGTTAGTATCTTGCAAGGAGCCCTGTGTTGAGAGATCCTTTTGGGAAAGCTGCCTGGGATCCCAGGCTCCCACATGAGACAAGCCTTGTTGTGTACAGTGACAGTTGGGCCAGGTCTTTGTGGTAGGAAGGGGGCATGGTCCTGTGGGTTGCTGGCAGAAGGACAGAAACCTAGAGCACCGAGAAAACCCTTTACCTTGGCGGGTTTATGTGTTTGAGAGCCTGCAAGCTCACATAGAGTGGGATCTGCCCATCGGGATCAACACCAGCATCATCAGTGTCCCAACTATATCTCAGGTACATGTGGGTCATTCCCTGCTCACAGAACCAGCCCAGGTGGAAATGTACTTTCTTTTCTCTGCCTGCAGGCCTGCCATTAATGACCGGGTATGCCGCCTATGACACACATCATTCAGGTACTAGGGTGTTCTGGGTGGGTGGGCATGGCACAGGCTCTGTTTGAAAATAGTCTCATGATCTGGGTGGGTTCATGAGGCCCTATGGATAAGAGTGATCTGAGGGTAGGCTTTGAGGACTTCTTTCTTTTCTTCATTCAGTGTGATTTGGGAGCAGGCAAGTGGCCTAGCTTTGCCGAACATCTCCCTGAGGTGGCTGTAGTCAGTCTAGGGGATCTTCAGAGGCAGCGGTGCAGAAGAGAATGTAGGCTGCCCGGCTGCTTTGGCCTCAAGCAGGGGGATCTGGCCCTTTGAAGCATCAAGTTCCTCATGTGTGAAATTCTTTGAGAATCTCATGTGCTACACTGTCATTAACATTGTCTAGTAGGGATACGGCTGGTCAGTGTCACTTGTGCAGGGTGTTTCACCTCCTCTCACCTCCAGCTCCATAGTGAGAGTTATGATGATGGTTGTACTGATGCTGATGGCACTGATGGCTTTGGTGATGATACTGATGGTACTCATTGTATGGGTGCTGCTGCTGCTGCAGATGATACTGATGGTGCTGATGTTGGTGCAGATGGTGATGGTAATGCTGTGGATTGCATCTTTGAATTCTCTTTTCTCTCTGTGTCTTCTGTCTTGTTGTCTGTGTTTCTTTGTCTCTCTGTTGTGTGAGTCTGATGTCTCTCTGTCCCTAACGAAGTACTTTGCTCTGTCTTTATGTGAAAAGACTGAGGAATTCTTTTTTTTTTTTTTTTTAAACAGAGATCTTGAACAGAGCTTTACAAGGGAAGGAATTAATTGCTGACCCTACCTGACCCAGAATAGCTGATATGATATTAATTTTTAATCTTCATGTTGCTTCTAACACTTATGGGATATTTGTTTTGTTTAAGGTTGCTTTTAACCTATTGACTGCTTTAAGCAAATGACACATGCACATACGTACACATACGCACACACTATTCTGGGGCATGGGCATGAAGAGTACATAATTTAAAATTAAAGCTATTATTTCACTTGGGTTGTAAAAGATGATTGCATGGGAAATCCAAGGCATAGTGAGGTTGGTTTCATTGGTAAAGGCAGGTTAAATAGGCAGAATACAGTAGAGAGACAGATGGAATTCTCCAGGTGAATTACTAACCTGGTTGCAGAGCCAGGTTAACTGCAAAAGTTCAGTGTTTCCAGAAAAAGGCTATTCTCACAGGCAGTGTTTCTGATGGTAAGATGGTGGTAATGCTGCTGATGCTCCTGAGACTGACGGTACTGACGCTGATGATGCTGTTGGTTATGGAGCTAATGGTGATAGTGATGATGATGGTGGTGTTAATGGTGGTGCTGGTGCTAATAGTTCTGATTAATAGTGATGGTGATAATAGTGATGGTGGTAATCCTGATGATTCTGATAGTGATGGTGCTGATGGTGCCAATGGTGCTTATGGTTATGATGCTAGCAATGATGGTAATGGTGATGATGGTGGTGGGGGTATTTACAGTGCAATTTTGGGTGTCAGGGTTAAGGCTGACACTCTTGTGGCTCTTTCCCACCCATGCCTCCAAGCTCCTGTAGGGTATGGAGATAGGTTATTCCCACTTCACAAGCTCTGGGTGGTGAGGCTGATAGGTCCCAGAGTGGGGATCTTCCCCTGGTGTCCCATCGTCACTGCTGCTTGCTGTGGGACTACTGGCATCTCTATACATTCCAGGGGCCACCATGTTGTCTGGTTTCATGGCTGACTCAGTAGATCACAGAGAGAAGCATGTTTTGGGGACCACCATGTGGGCAGAGGTGGGTACTCACCAAGTAAGAAAAATACAAAGGAAATGATGTTCTATCTAGTGCCTGACTGTGCTGGGATCCTTCTAGACCCGGTTGTATCTGAGCCCCTAGCTTGTTCAAGTTTCCAGAGGCAGTTGCCTCCCAGCCTGTTCTCAAGGTCCCCTTAACCCGCTCACAGGAGGCCTAGGGTCATGGGCTGAGCCTTTGGCCTTGTCAGTCTTGGGCTGTGACTCTTGGAATCTGCTGATCAATGCATTCTGGGGGCCATGTTGGCCGGGTCCAGACCTGTGGCCATCTGAGTGAGAGGTAAAGTTAGGCTATGAAGAGGAAGTGTCCTTGAGCCTTGCAGAGCTGTCTCAGCATATGTGAGGAAAGCAAGGAGTCACCAGCCACTGCTGGGAGCTAATGCTCTGAGCGCCTCTTCCAGAACCCAGGTCACACACCCTGTCTGTGTAGATAAGACACAGGCCGGGCTCCTGGTTTCCTGAGTGAGATGAGTGGGGAGGAACAGCAGGGAATAGGGGAGATTGTGGCACACTGTGGAGCCTTGAGGGCTACCCCGTTGTAGCTGCCTCCCTGTGGTAACCAGTGTTCTGGGCTTTCAGATCAGGCTAGGATGGACTTTGTAGTTATCAGAAAAGTCTGAAAATCTGGCTTAAATTTTTTTTTGAGGCAGTCTTAATGTGTAGCCTGGGATGTTTATAAACTCACAACTCTCTTGTGGAGCTCTGAGTGCTAGGGCATGGGCTACCTCTTTTTATTTGCTGTCCACCCCCAAGTCTCTCTAGGTGCCACCCTGCTGTCAGCCTTCCCGAGGCTGCCAGTTTGTTCCCAGCCCGTGTGTATCCATCCAGTGAATGGGTCATACAGTGAGTCTTTTTGGCATGTCTTAGCATTTCAGAGGAGCCGGAGCCATCCTCTACAGAACAGCTGGACCGGCAGGGCCTGTACCTTCACCTCTTCAGCCTCCCTTTCTCTTCTGCAAAATGGCTGCAATGACCAGTAATACATGGCAGGGGTCCGATGTGTGGATGGGCTCAAAGCACCTGGCTCAGTACGTGTTACAGTCCCTGCAGACCAGGCTTTGTGGTGCACAGTCTCAGGGGAATTTTTTGTGAACTGTATTTTGCCCTGTTTCCTGGCTCATGTGATCCCCCCCCCCCAACAAAAGTTGGTGCTATTGCCATCTCTACCTTGTTGATGAAAAGCAGACACAGAGAGGTGAAGCCACTTGCTTCAAGTCACACAGTTGTGAGGACGTGCTGGAGTTCCCCACTGAAGATGATGCTGACGGTGCCCATGGTGCCGATGGTGCTGATGGTGTAGATGGTAGTGCTGCAAATGGTGACAGTGCTGATCCTGATCTTATGATATTAATGGTGGACCTGGGGTAATATGTGGGGTGAGCTGCAGGTGTCCTCTGTGGATGCATCTGAAGCAGGCCTAGGCTGCATCTGGTTCGTAGAATCTCAGTGGTGAAGACTTGCATTGCAGCATGCAGGGCATTGGTCAACTGCTTCTTCTCTTCGTCTGCACTTGTCACTTGTGAGGTGTGGCGGCTTGCCACCACGCTCCTTCCACCTGTCCCTTCTCCAAAATGAGAAGGCATGGGGTCACTGAGCCAGTCCTGTCTGCATATCTCTGAGGCATTTTGCTGTTCCTGGGGTGTTGAGCGGTTCTGGTTCCAAAATTCCTCTGAGATGACAGGGTGAAGTTTATAATGTGGGCATAACATGTGCACAGGACACAGCGTGAGCACAGGGCACAGTGTAGACACAGGGTACAGAGTGGACACAGGGTACAGTGTGGACACAGGACACAGTGTGGACACGAGGTACACAGTGGACACAGGACACAGTGTGAGAGGCAGATGCAATGCTGGGAGCTCATTCACTTAGAATGAAATCCTAAGTTGTCTCAGGGTGCAGAGGGGATGTGTCAGTTTGTTGCTGATGCAGACACAGAGGGCACTCACATGGCTGGTGGGGAGTACAGGGAGTGAGAAATAGGTACACTAGTACTGTCACTTAACTGCTGACCAAGCTAATTTGGGTCTCAGTTTCCCCAAATATAAACTTGATGTCCTGAACCGAAACAGCTGATTATTTACTCAGGTAACTCCAGCATGCTGTGTTATCTCAGCAGGGATCAATGAAGTCTATGAACAGTGGTGGGCACCCTGACTGATAGACCCTATGGAAGGGTCTGAGGATTCCAAATGTGCAGCAGCGTTAGCCCTGTGTTACTCACACAGGCCCACTCAGTGGTGCAGCTGCTGACTGTACAGCTCCAGGACACTACAGGTTTGGGGGCTGTCAGTTTCTGTGGCTCCAGAGGGAAGCCTGGCGTGGTGAGAAGCTGAGGAAGCATAAGGCTGCTGTTGGTGGGAAATTGTGTTTGTAGCAGTTACAGAGCATCTCCAGCGTCCCATAGCTCTGGGCTGTTCTCTTCATTCCTGCAGTAGCTCAGGGTTCCCCTAGCTCCCATCACTGAGCCCCACCTGCACGCTGGCTGTCGGTCAGGGACTGCTGGGCCCTCTGGGTTGTACTTTTCTTATCTTTCACTTTGTACATTTATCTGGAATGCTGCTCCCTGTAAGAGGACACCAGCACCACCTGTTACACAGGAAAGCCAGAGGAGGGAAGCTAATGAAAGTCAACAAAAGCAAAATACTGAGTTGGTAAATTTCCAGCCTCATGGCTCAGTGTTGGGATTATTATGGTCTGTTGGTGCCAAACTGAAGCTTTTCTCTTTCTTTTTATATTTTATTTATTTGATTAGTTTACATTTGTGGTGCTGGGGGGGGGTGTAACCCAGGACTTTGCGTGTGTGAGGCCAGCATCCCACTCTGAACAGCACTCTGGCTCTTGAGGTGACGGAGTAAAGGGATGGTGGAGCTGTAGCCTGTCTATCACAGCTCCCTCCTGTGTAGTTCCCAGGCAGAGCACTTCCAGGTCTTTCTGAAGGACAGACTGTGGGCAGGATTTTACAGAGGTTTCCACCTGAATCTGGGGAATCCTAGGTCGCCGTGTATTGCGAGGATGATATTGTGGCGATCATACCTTCACATGTGGTGTTTCTTCCTATCATGAATGTAGGCCACTGAGTCCAGGTTGACAAGAACCAGAGCCACAGGGCACTTCATGAGAAATAACATAGGCTATGCCTGCATGGCTTGAACTTGGTGCTGTTCCCAGGCCTTCCTAGATCGTGTGTGTATGTGTGTGTGTGTGTGTGTGTGTGTGTGTGTTCGTGTGTGTGTGCAGATGCATGTGTATATGAATGCATCTTCATATATGTGTGTTCATATGTATGTGTATATGAATGTATATGTGTGTGTGTGTGTGTGTGTGTGTGTAGGTCAGAGGCCAGTCTTAGGTATCATTTTTTGGGCACTGTCCATCTTATTTTTTGAGACAGGGTCTCCTACTGGCTTGGATATTACTGAGTAGTAGTGATTGGTTGGCCAGTGAGCCCCAGGGGCTGGTCTTTCTCTGCCACTCAGGTGCTGGGACTACAAGCAAACACCACTTGGAAGGAGGAATAGAGCCATTGGGAAGCAGAACCTGGGGCTCCCCCTCTGCCAGTCCCTGACTGCCCTGTGTTCTCCTCCCCAACAGCCTTCTCCCAGATGTTGATCAGCTTCTACTATGGGGGCAAGCCTGTGGGCCAGGCTACCACCACCTGCCCCGAGGGCTGCCGCCTATCCCTGAGCCAACCCGGGCTTCCCAAGCTGTATGGGCCTGATGGCCTGGAGCCAGTGTGCTTCCCAACAGCTGACACCATCCCCAGCGAGCGGCAGAGGCAGGTGACCCGGAAGTTGTTTGGGCACCTGGAGCGTGGTGTGCTCCTGCACAGCAACCGCAAGGGTGTGTTCGTGAAGCGCCTGTGCCAGGGCCGCGTGTTCTGCAGTGGCAATGCAGTGGTGTGCAAGGGCAGGCCCAACAAGCTGGAGCGGGATGAGGTGGTGCAGGTCTTTGACACCAACCAGTTCTTCAGAGGTCAGTACTGAGTCACTTGCTGTCCTTGCCTTAACATTCATACCCCTATTACCCCGTGCCACCTGCATCATGGACCAAGTTTACTGTTGCAGGGAGGGGTTGAGGACTTTGGCAATGGCATGGCTGGGGAACCTTGTGAAGCCTGCACATTCTCCCTGAGCAGCCTGGGAACTGCTTAGAAATGCAGAGTCCAGGGCCTCAGCCAGCCCAAGCTCAGCTCCTTTGCACTGGCAGGGTCCTCGGGGAGGTGGCAGGATCCAGTGTGCCCAGTCTTCGGCCCGGGCGCTGCAGGTGGCTCCCTTCCAAGCACTGAAGCCTAACCCGGACCCCGACTACTGCTCAGAGGCTCACTGGTTTCTGTGTTCTTCCAGAACTGCAGCAATTCTACGCCACCCAGAGTCGCCTTCCTGACAGCAGGGTGGTGCTGTGCTTTGGGGAGGAGTTTCCGGACACCGCGCCCTTACGCTCCAAACTCATTCTGGTGCAGGTGAGAGCTAGTGGCTTTTGTCTTGTGCCCAGGCATCCTCACCCTCATTTACATGGGGCCAACTTTGTCCCAGGGTGAGAAGAGACAGCAAGGACTGCATATTCCATCTGTGTGACCAGGGCAGAGGCAGGCAAACAAGACCACAAAGGGGTCTTATTATCTCTGCATTTTGTCTTCCTATGTTGGGACTCTCTTCATCTGTGTTTTCCTCCTTCTCTTCCTCCCTTTCTCCTGCTTTCCCTTCCTCCCTTCCCCTGCTCCTTTCTCTTTAGGAACTCTTCACCTGTCCAGTGGCCCTGAGGTCTAAGTGAGCCCTTATTTGATTATGGTCAGAGCAGTCCTGGGAGAACACTCTTAGCAATGTTCTCAAGTGCGGTCTGCCTGGCTCCTTGCCACTGAGGGGATCAGAGGACCTGTGGTAGGGTGCATGCAGGAAGGCCCCAATTCTCCTCCCACCTCTCTTCTGACTTTGCACACTGCCCCTGCAGGTGGAGCAGCTGTATGCCAGACAGCTGGTGGAGGAAGCGGGAAAGAGCTGTGGTGCTGGTCCCCTGATGCCAGCCCTGGAGGAGCCCCCACTAGACCACACATTGCGGATGTTTCCAGATATTTGTGCCTCACACCAGAGACCCTTTTTCAGAGAAAATCAACAGATCACTGTCTAAGCCTCACCCCGGGCATCCCACCTCGCCTGAGGCTCAAGCTTCACAATTCTGTGCCTGACAGGATTCTGCTAGGATGTGCACCCCTCTGGCTAGGGTGGGCAGTGTCCTCCATGGGGCCTTGAGAAGCCCAGAGATGGACACATTCCTGCTCAGGCAGATGTTGGAGTTTGCAGGGGCGGTTCCAAAACCTGCAATTTAAACATTCGTTTCCTGAATTTTCCCCTTTATCATTAATGGTTGTTCTTTCTGCATGTTGAAGTCACTTTGACAGTTTAAATCAGTCTGTGGCAATAGAGTCACCTTTGTCCTTCTCTGCTGAAGGTAGAGATTTCTGACTTCCTCTGCTTGATTGTAGACAATGCATCTTTTTACTGTTCAGACCTTTTCTTTTTGTTTTTGGCAAGAAGGTTGAGAAAATAAGTTGGTAACACTTTTTTTTTTTAAATTTCTGTAATGAGGTGGTCCTGGGTAACCCCTGTCTCCTTTCTAAATGGTTTTCACTTTTTAAACAATATATTTGTATTTTCACTTGCCCTACTTTGAACCTTCCCTGTTAAATGGGCAGATTATAAATATGAGTATAGATACTGCTTGCAGATTTCATATGAATTTTGGTTATGGCTTATCAATTCACATGACTCTGTATCAGCTGGCAGGGGTTTGTGTGGGGCATGGTAGGACCAGGAACTGTGGAAAGGACCCATCCACAGGCTTCTTACCCTCCTATTGTCCCATTCCACACCCAGTCCTATGACCCAGTGAAAAACTATGTCCAGATTGCACTCTAGGCTTAGAAGTGCACACCCACATACCAGAGAAAGGTACATATCCTACATGTAATCACAGAACAGAATGCCCACCTGTAACGTGCTGAGCAGAAGCTAGGGTGGAAAACTTAGGGCATGGCTGAGTGACTGAGGCCAATTTATGCCCCCAACCTGGTGTCCAGTCTAGCATCTACATAATTTTAGGCTGCAGGGCCTTGGGGGTGCCTCCAGAGCTGCTTTCTGCGGGAGTGAGCCACTGCCGAGGATTTATTTTGGCTATCAGTGCACAACAGGTGCCAATGTCAAGCACATGTGGGCATAGAGAGCATCATCTTCCTTCCACTCTTGTCTGGGGTCAGGAGAGACCTCCTCCATTTGTTTTCCTTTGTAACCGGCAGGGGTCCCTCCTAATGTGCTCAGCATTCCACAGTGAAGGGCAAGACTGTTGTTCACGCTGGGAAAGCGTGAGGGTTCAAAGGACAATCCCTGCTACTGAGGGGCTCGACAGGTTACACCTTACAAGCCAAAAAGTCAAAGAACTTGGAGAACTTTGTGGCTGTTGTGTGAAGGTGATGGAGGTAGGTCGGCTCAACAGTTACAGTCACCAGAGTATGGGACACCTGCAAACAGAACCTGGGGCTTGCTTCTGCTGCTCCGCCAAAGCCAGGAACATCTCTTCTGAAGCTGGGACAACCAGTTTCCTGGCCACATGTCACATGTCACCTCCTCCTCGAGAGTGCTAATGCAAAAATCTATAATCCAAATATTTATTTTTGTATTCATTTAAAAAGTGTTGATCTCATCCTTTATTAAAGTAAATTACTCTTTCATAAAAGTGATATCTGTTCTTTGTTTTCAAAAACCATTCTCGAATATAATCTTCATTAGATTCAGATTTTTTTTTTTATTTTAAAAAAAAATTAAGACGGGATCTGATTCTGTAGCCCAAGCTTTGAACTCATCGTAATCCTTGGCTTCAGCCTCCTGAGTGATGGGAGTATAGGCATGAATCACTATGGCTTTGAGGGCTTTTTAGGAAGAAACTTTAAGGAATAATGGACTGAGATTTTAAGGATTTAGGGGGTTTTGGGTTTTGTTTGTTTGTTTTATTTTTTGTCCCCAAGACAATGGTAGAAAGGTCTGGAGAACAGGACTGACTGATGTACAGAAGACACTGGAGAGTGCTGTTCAATCAGAGGCCTATTTGGGATTCAGTGAGCCCAGGCTGTGTGAAGTGTGGGAGGGCATGGTAGCACCCTTCTGGAAGCTTCTGGACATATTAGGGAGATGGTTACCAGTCATATAGATGAGGTATGACCTTCCATTTACACACACATACTCATGCTGGACACAAGCCCAGTATGGTCCCTCATTGATGCTCCTCAGGTGGGCACAGGCTGCTCCTCAGGTGGGCACAGGCTGCTCCTCTGGTGGTCAAGGGCTGCTCCTCAGGTGGGCAAGGGCTGCTCCTCAGGTGGGCAAGGGCTGCTCCTCTGGTGGGTGGATGCAGCCTAGCAATCCTGTCCCTGAAGTAATGCATGCTACCTCTGCTTTCCTGGGATTCCTCAGAGACAAGGCCTGTTAGTCACAGCTCACAGATGTGGAAAGTGAGGCAGAGGTCCATGCTTGGCTGGTGTGAAGCCTTCTGGGAACACAGTGAGAGGGAGGAGCCTCTGTACAAGATCCTTGACCCAGAGGACAGCTGACCCCAGAGTCAAGGACAGCAGACTGTTCTGCACTGGGTCATGTTAGTCCCAGAGGGCTCCAACCAGGAATTTTGTTTATAAGCATCTCTTCTTTGAATGTGGAAAGTGAATCCAGTCCTAGTTCGTGTCTCTCAGAGTTCAACTCCTGGGCAGGGAGTGGACGCTGCCTCCCTGAAGTGCAGGAGGGAATTGGAGTCTCTGAAGGCTAGGCCTCCAGGGACAAGACTTGGGTCCTCAAAGGAAAGTGACTTTCTCTGGACGGAAAGTGTTTGGCTCTGAAGGAAAGACCAGCTACCCTGACTTTTGGGATCATAAAACCCTTAGGAAGTTGGCGTGTGTCAACATGGCCCCATGCATTGCCACTTAGCTCACTAATGCCTGCAGGATCCATGGGGGAAGCAAGGTTCTATCTTCCCTTGTACTATCCACATAAGACAATGACCCTAGAGGCAAGCAGGGAAGAGCAGGGTGGGGTGGGGAAAGGCCAGGGTGCACCTGCTGGATAGGGCTTGGTTGGGCTCCTGGAGGGTGGAGTAGAATGTGTGGTCACAGGACAAGCTAGGGTTTCACCCACTCAAAGCTCACCAGCTGCTCATGCTTCCGACTTTGGGTTTCTGGGATTCAGTACCACACACCAAGAAGCAAATGGCCTGTCACTCAGTAAATCAAAAACAAAAAAAGTGTATTTCCATTTATTATAATTAAGCTGTGAGTGATTACATAGTTGCGCTATTAATATTAAATAGTTCTTGTCAACTATAATGCCAATGGTCAAGTATGTGTGTCAATCAAAAGTAATTGTGGGGTATAGTGATGCATTTCTGTAATCCAAGTACTCAGAAGGCTGAGGCAGAAGGATGGTGAGTTTCAGACTATTCAGGGCTGTACTGTGAAACATTGTCTCAAGAAACCAAGCCAAACCAAAACAATAATAATGGAATAATTAACACTCAGTTGTTAGGAACGATAAAGAAATGTATGAGTGTGTAGAATTATATGGTTCCCTTTAATTACAGACACTGATTTAATTGCATATGCTGTTAATGTGATCATTTCAGAAAGCTGCAACTGTAAATAGTGATGAAATTATTAAACTGCTCTTATGAAGTTACTTATACAGGGTCTCAGCTAGCCTAGTGGGCTGCCTTGATCCCAGCTTCCTACCCAGAGCCTGGAGTACTATAGCACTCTGTTTTGTTATTTATTTGTCTTTGAGAAAGGGTCTTAGTCTGTAGTTCAAGCTAGCCTCAAATTTGTGACAGTCCTCCTTCCTTAGCCTCCCAACTGCCTGTGGGGTGGGGTGGTTCTGATGGTCACATGGCAGGGGGTGGAAGGGCTACGAGGCACTGCCTGCGCTCCAAGTGGAAAGAAGAGGTCTGGGGATGTGAGATTCTGGCTCAGCCTTCTCCTAACAAGCAGTTGGAGCACAAGGGCCATTCCACAGGGTTCTTTAAGCAGTCAGATGGACTTGCACATCCTGCAGGAGGAGTCACTGTGAGCATCCCCCTAGAGAACACTGAAATGATGAGCTTCAGGTCAGTCTTTCCTATGTGGTGGAGGGAGAGAGGCAGAAGGAAGGGAGGGCAGAATCTAGGGATCTAGGATCACTTGTGGTGATACATGGGAGGAAACAGCTTTTGTGGATGCTGCCCAGTGAGCAGGGTTGTAGCATGAATAACAAAAGCCCAGAGACAGATATTGGGGTTCATGCTGAAGATCAGAGAATCAAAGCAGCTGAGCCACAAGCTCTTACCCCTACCTCAGACTGAAATGGCAATCTTGTCTCAACTAAGCCTCAGATTGCAATCCCAGACTGCTGCCTCTCCTCAACGTGGCTGGAGACAAATTCTCTCCTGAGACACTTTGCTTCTCCTTTTATACCTCTCAAATCCAGGGACTAAAGGCGTGGGATCCCAAGTGCTGAGATCTTTGTGTGAGCTGTTTCTCTTTTAGATTGGATCAATTTCGTGTAGCTCAGTGTGGCCTTAAACTAACAGAGATCCATCTACCTTTTAATCCTGAGTCCTGGGCTTAAAAGTGTGTACCATCACTGCCTAGCTTCTGTAGCTAACTTGTGTGGTTGGCTTTGCATCTTGAGCCCCCAGGCAAGCTTTTTTAAATCATAAATAATGTATCACCACACAGGGCCCTCCTGGTCCCTCCAGATGTGCAAGTGGAGGGCCCTGTTCTGGAGTGACACTGGCTCGGAGCTGTGTAACAGTGGGGGAGAACTCAGAGCATTATGGCTCACACCCTTGCACTGAGGATCTGGTGGCTGTAACACCCCCTGCTTTGTCTTTGTCTGACGTATATGAAAAAGGAAATTTAAAAATTGCCCAAACCCCCAAAGGGACACAGGAATCCCCATAGCAGCTCCTTGGACAGCTTTGGGGGGCAAAAAAAAGTGTCTCAGATGCCCCAGATGTCCCTTTCCTCCGTCTGGAGCGAGGATTTGAGCAAAGCAGGTTAGAGATGCTGAGGCCAGAATAAAGCCACTGTTGCCTGGACCCCTGTGAAAAAGCCAAGACTCTTTTGATGGGAGCATCTTCTCGATTATACATCTAGGCCAATGCCCCAGGGTTGAGTCCAGAGTCTGTGGAGAGGGGACACAGAGATTAGAGCCAGAAAAGACACATGACACCACAGAACAGTATTTAGTTAGGCTGAGATGGCTTGAAGATGGAAGCCAGGCCATGAGCCAAGGAATGAGGGGACTCTGTAAGCTGAGAATGGCAGGCAAACAGGCAGAAGGTTCTAGAAGGAACTGCCCTCCTACTTTGTGGTTTTGACCTTGAGGACTGTAAGGGACCGGACATGTGCTCTTTTAAGCCACTACTATGGCCATTTGCCCCACAGCCCTCGGACAGTTGCACAGAACCCTGATGCTTAGTGGAGACAGCCAGGATTCCCAGGGTGCAGATTAGGGCCCCGTATCTCATGGGCTGTACCACTCACCTTTCCTCAGGACTCAGCTTCCCCACAGCTGCTTTTCTTTCTTTCATTGGCAGCAGCCTGACCTTCTCACAGGGGAGCTACTCTGCCCCAGTACTTGGGGACACTGGGGTGGAAACCCCAAGGTTGAAAATAGCCCTGCACTTTTCTTGGTTAGGTTTCTTGCTGTCAGCTGCCTCGGGGCAGCCGGCTGAAAAAGCCACTTCCTGCTGCCAGCCTCACTGTCCATACTGGCAACTCTTGTCTGTCCTGCTGAATTTCCAGTCATGTGGGCGACCCAGGCGAGGCTCTGTGGAAAGATGTTCCCAGTTTTCCGGGTCTGGCTCTGGCAGATATTTTGGGGACAGGGGTTGCTGCCTGTTTCTGTCTTTCTGTTCCAGGGTCTTCCTCACTCTCAAGTTCAAGGTGGTGTTTCCTTTCTCGGGGTGTGAACTCCCGACCACGATGGTGTCATGGCCAAGAACTTGTTTCCACTCAAAACCACGGGCAGCACAGCACAGGCCTTTCTCAAGAAATTTCTAACCCACCCACCCTCAGTTCTCAAGCTTGACCTCAGGGCTGGTTGGCGCTAGAAAGTGTAAATGACACCATAGGGCACAGATGACCTTAGGTGTGTGGGAGGAAAATGCCAGTTTTACAGTTTGCCTCATTTCACATAGGCTGCTCTTTAAATGCCAAGAAGGCAAACGGTGCCCTGCTCATGGCGACTGAAAGATAAAGCTTCCTGTGATGGCCTGCCACTCGCTCCTCACCACAGGGCAGCCGGAGATGTATGTTGAGGGAAATGGCTATGTGTGAGAGTGAACCATACAGGTTCTGACCTGGCTGGAAGGTCAACCTCTTCTGTCAAGTCAGACCCACATGCTTCCGTGAAATCATTCTCCAGGTGGGTGCTATTGCCCTTGAGTGTCTTCTGGGCTGGACCACTGCCTGGTGAGGACAGTGACCCATTCCAGCATGATGGATTTAGCCCTCTACCCTGCGTGGCATGCCCCAGTGATGTCCAGCGCAGGTCCCCTCAGTCATCTTCCACAGGGAGACTCTGTGACAGGTGGCGTCCTCTATCCTATCTCTTCCCACTTCAGGAGCATCACTCTCGTTATTCAGATAGAGAAACCAGGACCCAGAGATGGGGTTTAAATGACAGGGCATCTGGAACTGGCCAGGAAGTGGCCCT